CTGGAGAATGCATGATAGAATTCTGCAAAACCAATGATTTGTTCATTTCAATTACCTTATTTAGACAGCATAACAGATGACTATACACATGGACCTCACCAGATGGAATACATAGAAATCAGATTGACTACATCTGTGGAAAGAGAAGATGGAAAACTCCGTATCATCAGTCAAAACAAGGCCTGGGACAGACTGTGGAACAGACTATCAATTACTCATATGAAAATTCAAACTGAAGCTGAAGAAAATGAAAACAAGTCCACGAGAGCCAAAATATGATCTTGAATATATCCCACCTGAATTTAGAGGTCATCTGAAGAACAGATACATTAAACACTAAAGACCAAAGATCAGAAGAGTTGTGGGATGACATCAAGAACATCATACATGAAGAAAGAAAAAAGTCATTGAGAAGACAAGAAAGAAGGAAAAGGCCAAAATGGATGTCAGAAGAGATAGTGAAACTTGCTCTCCAGCGTAGAGATGCTAAAGCAAATGGAAGAAAAGAGGAGGTCCAAGAGCTGAACAGAAAATTTCAAAGATCAGCTCAAGAAGACAAAATCAAATATTACAATAAATTGTGCAAAGATCTGGAATCAGAAAACCAAAAAAGAAGAACATGCTCAGCATTTCTCAAGCTGGGGGAACTGAGAAAAAAATTCAAGCCTCAACTTTCATTATTGAAAGATTCTCTGGACAAATTATTGAATGAGGCAGAAAGCATCAAGAGAAGATGGAAGAAATACACAGAGTCACTGTACCAAAAGGAAATGGTTAATGTTCAACCATTTCAAGAAGTAGCATATGATAAAGAGCCAATGATACTGAAGAAGAAAGTCCAAGATGCATTGAAAGAATTGGCAAAGAACAAGGCAACAGGAATTGATGAAATAAAAATTGAAATCTTTCAAGAAAGTGAGGCGGCACAAGAGGCACTCACTCATCTCTGCCAAGAAATTTGGACGACAGCTAACTGGCCGACTGATTGGAATAGATCCATATTTGTGCCCATTTCCAAAGAGAGGTGACCCAACAGAATGCAGAAATCATCGGGCAAAATTTTTGATATCTCATGCAAGTAAAGTTTTGCTAAAGGTAATACAGAAATGGCTACAATCATACGTTGACAGAGAACTTCCAGAGGTTCAAGCCAGATTCAGAAGAAGCCATGGAACAAGGGATATCATTGTTGATGTCTGATGGATCTTGGCTGAAAGCAGAGATGTTTACCTATGCTTTATTGACTATGCAAAGGCTTTCAACTGTGTGGATCATGACAAGCTATGGACAACATTAAGAAGTATGAGTGTTCCAGAACACTTCATTGTACTTCTGAGGAATCTGGACCTGGACCAAGAAGCAGTTGTTCAAACAGAACATGGGAACACTGAATGTTTAAAATTAAGATAGGTGTGTGACAAGATTGTATTCTTTCACTATACTTATTCAACCTGTATTGTTGAACAAATAATCTGAGAAACTGAGTTCTATGAAGAAAAGCGTGGCATCAGGATTGGAGGAAGAGTCATTAACAACCAGCAATATGCAGATGATACAACCTTGCTTGCTGAAAGTGAAGAGGACATAAAACATATATTGATGAAGATCAAAGAGCACAACCTTTGGTATGGATTACATCTCAATGTAAAGAAAACAAAAATTCTCATCACCGGACCAATAAACAACATTCTTATCAAGGGAGAAAAGATTGAAGCTGTCAAGGACTTCATTTTTCTTAGATCAACTATCAACACTCACAGAAGCAGCAGTCAAGAGATCAAATGACGTATTGCTTTAAGCAAATCTGCTGTACAAGACCTTTTTTAAGAGTTAAAGAGCAAAGATGTCAGCTTGAGGACTAAGGTGCACCTGACCCAAGCCATGGTGTTTTCAATAATCTCATATGCATGCAATGAGACCGTAGAAGAATTGATGCTTTTGAGTTATGGTGTTGGAGGAGAATATTGAAAGTACTATGGGCTGCCCTTGAGCACTTTAAAGAGGTCTTGTATATCATCTTTGCTTAATGCAATTCGTCATTTGACTTCTTGAATACTTCTTCCCTGAGTGTTATTAATGTTGTTACTAAGTGCTGTTTGGTCGATTCTGACCAATAGTGACCCTATATAAAGTTCCTGAGGAGTCGTTGGCGAGTTTGAGCCACTGACCTTGCAGTTCAAACCAACTTTGCAGTCCAGCACATTAACTCGCAGCGCCACACCAGGACTCCTAGAAGAACAAATAAATCTGTGTTGGAAGAAGTACAGTTAGGATGTTCCTTAGAAGCCAGGATAGCCAGACTTCTGTCACACTTTGGACATTATAAAAAGGGATCAGTCCCTGGAAAAGAATATTATCCTAGGTAAAGTGGAAGGTCAGCAAAAAAGAGGAAGACCACCAATGAGATGGATTAGCACAGTGGCAGGAGCAGTGGGCTTTAGCAGTGATTGTGAGGATGGTGCAGGGCAAGGCTATGTTTCTTTCTGTTGTTCATAAGGTCTGTGTGAGTTGAAACTGACATGACAGCACCTAACAAACAGCAAAAAAAAAAAAAAAAAGTGTCCTCTTGTGCTGTTCAACCAATTGTCTCTTTCTCTATGTACAGCTTCCTCGTGAGAACAAGAAAGTGTTCTAGAATACCCATTCTTCCCAATGTTACCCATAGATTATCATGATCCACACAGGTGGAAGCCTTTGCATGCTCAGTAAAGTACAGGTAAATAACTTTCTGGTGTCCTATGCTTTCAGACAAAGGAGCTCAGGTAGCGTAGTGGTTACAAATAGGGCTGGGAACCACAATGTCAGCAGTTTTAAACTACCAGCTGCTCCACTGGAGAAAGATGAGGCTTTCTTCTCCCGTAAAGATTTACAGCCTCGGAAACCCTGTACAGGGTCGCTATGAGTTGGAACCGACTCCACGGCACATAATGACAACAACATGCTTTCAGACAAGAGCCATCTGATGTCAGTAATGATATCCATCGTTCCACATCTTTCTTCATCTGAATCCAGTTTGAACCTCTGGTAGTTCCCTTCAGTGTACTGTTGCAGTTGTTTCTGCGTTATCTTGAGCAAAATTTTACTTACACCTGATATTAATTATATTGTTTGATGATTTTCACATTCCATTGGGTCACCTCTCTTTGGAATTGGTACAAATATGGATTTCTTCCATTCAGTTGGCTAGGTCTTTCAAATTTCTTGGCATAGATGAGTGCCTCCAGTGCTGCATCAGTTTGTTTAAAGATTTCAACTTGAATTCCATCCATTCCCAGAAACTTGTCCTTTGTCAATGCCTTCAATGCACCTTGCACTTCTTCCTTCAGTATCATTGGCTCTTGATCATAAGCTACCTCTTGAAATGGTTGAACATTGACCAGTTTTCTTTTCTTTCTTTTTTTTTTTTTTGGATACAGTGACTGTATCAAATTCCCTCCATCTTGTTAATGTTTTCTGCATCATTCAATATTTTGACCATAAAATCCTTCAATATTGCAAGTTGAGACTCAAATCTTTTCTTCAGTTCTTTCAGCTTGAGAAATGCTGGGCATATTCTTCCCCTTATCCTGCTAGCATGCATAGTGCTTTTGTCACCACTAATTCAGTACTGGTTTGATACTGTATGATAAGTAATGGACTGCTAATAGCAAGGTCTGTGTTTCAATCTCACCAGCCACTCATTGGAAACTCTTGATAGGGTCACTGTGAAGCAGACCCCACTGCTTCACACTTAACAACAATTCAGTAAAGAAATCAACATGTGCAACTTGTTGACAGATAGGGGATAATAAAACCAGTTGCAAATCTATGCTCTTGGAATGCATACAATTGTTCCCCCAGGGATCCTGGTGGCTCATCTGAGAAAAAAAAAAGTAGAAGAGAAGAAACAAAAGGTCAGTACTGGTCAGAATGGCTCATTTGAAGTTGCCTTCTTGGTGCTCTTAGGCCCACTTGTTACAGATCCCTTTAATGAAAGAAACTTCCTCGTAGACACTGTCCAGATGAAAAAATGTTCTTCACTTCCACTCAATATACAATCAGGCCTGCATTGTGAAGGCCAGGTTTGTTCATCGCTTCAGCTTCAGTTGGCTTTGCTTCGTGTAAAATTTCACTATTGGTTATTAAAATATTATCTGTAAGAAACAAATTTACAACCCATTTCTCATATTACCTACTACAGAAAAACAAAATTTGATATCCTAGGGTTTATTTGCTGAGCGTGCTTCCCATAAAGCTTGTGAGTGTGCATTGTGAAATTTGTCTGGTTAACTCCTTTATGGATAAAGTTTAGTCACAATCTTCTCTCCCCTCCCCCGGCTCATGCCCCCAGCACCCTCCCTGCCTTTTCCCTTCCCGCCTCTCCAGGGCTGGTGACCTCATAGCATTTTTGTCCATGCATATTTTGGCGTCGCCCCATGGCTTGGCTGACTTCGTCTGTCTGAGTCTTTTTAAATTCCTGCATGCTCGGTCCAGATTAAGCTGAGGGTGTCTCAGAATGTGTGTTCCGTTTTCTTCTTTCCCCTTTACTCTCTCTTTGCAACGTGTCTGGGGGGGAGGAGGAAGGGACCGGGAGCGTAGGGAGGGGCAAAGGCTCAGAGCTGTCAGCCTTGCACGTTTCCAATCTCCTTACGTGAACAAATAGCGGAGAGGCGGCACGGCCAGAACCGCTTGTGTAACTTTGCAAACGTGTCAGAGAATTTAAAATCTCTTCTTCTCTCACTGCAGACACTGCCTGTTCGCCGAGGTCGCCGCGTCGCTCCCCGACGTGTTCCACAAGGTTTGGTAAAGGGAAGAGAACCGAGCGCCGCATCCCAACAACTGTCTTTATTGCGGGAGGGTCTGCAACCCATCCTTGGCATTGTTTGGTGAGACCTAAAACACCCAGCTTGGCCCGCCTCCTTTGCTGGATGATTTCTCCCTCTCTCACGTGATTTGAGCCCCGTTTTTATTTTCTCCAAACCACGTCTGCCACAAGTGGGTACAATCCAGCAAAGCGAGCGATGCGCCTCTCCTGGACCGCTCTCCTGTTCGGCCCGCTGCAGCTCTACGCGCTCCTGCGCTGCGCCTCGCCGGCCGCGGGCCAGCAGCAGCCCCCGCGTGAGCCGCCGGCAGCGCCGGGAGCCTGGAGGCAGAGGATCCAATGGGAGAACAACGGGCAGGTGTTCAGCCTACTGAGCCTGGGTTCACAGTACCAACCGCAGCGCCGCCGGGACCCCGGGGCTGCAGCTTCGCAGCCGCGTACACCGGTCTTGTTGCTCCGTAACAACCGCACGGCGGTGTCGCGGGCGCAGGCGGCTGGCTCGTCGGGAACCACATCCCCTCGCTCCAGGCCCGCCGCCCGCCACTGGTTCCAAGTTGGCTACACGCCGTCGGGACCTCGCAGCGCTGGCGACTCGCGGTCCAGCAACAGGACTGAGCAGAGAGTGCGCCCGGCGCTCAGTAACCTGCGGCCGCCAAGCCGGGTGGACGGCATGGTGGGTGATGACCCATACGGTTCCTACAAGTACTCGGAGGACAACCCTTATTACAACTACTACGACACGTACGAGAGACCACGGCCTGGGGGCAGAAGCCGGCCTGGATACGGCACCGGCTACTTCCAATACGGTAAGTGACTCAAAGTCCACTGTACGCACCCCCACACCCTATCCCCAAGTATGTGGCACCACGACGTGGCTGTCTGGGCGCGGCGGGCCATAAACCCCACAGATAGGACCCCTCCCCCAGTGTCTGCAGAAGCAGCCCTGGAATTTGGTGGAAACCGCGCGCGCCTGGCTCCTCCTGCTTCCTTTCCATTTTACTTTGCAACTCTAGGCGTCCCCGGTTTTCCCGCTTATGCTGCCCATCCCAGGGCCCGATTGGCAAGGGGTGAGGAAGGGTGAGAAGTAAGGAATCTAGAGGAATCGAGTGTCCTAGCGGAGGGCGTGGGGTTATCTCACTACTGTCCACTCTGCTGACCTTTAGGTCTTCCGGACCTGGTGCCTGACCCCTACTACATCCAGGCTTCCACGTATGTGCAGAAGATGTCTATGTATAATCTGAGATGTGCCGCCGAGGAAAACTGCCTGGCCAGGTGGGGGCTACATTTGTGCTTGATTCTGATGCCTCCTGTTAGGCGCAGACAAAAGTTGAGAAGTGGGTCAAGACCTGGAAAGTGGGACGTGACCTCCTGCACATGCTAATTTGGATGGAGACTTAAATTTTGGGTTCTGTCTCTCAACTTCTTGTACAGATCAGGGGGATGGAGAAAACCCTAATTTTAGAATCTGCATGTCTGTATTCTTTTTCCAACTTCCGTTTTCCTATATTCTTGAAACTTTGTAGCCAATTATTTCCTGTAACTTTCTATACACATACAGTAAGGTGTGAAAAAAATCCTTGCAATACCTTTTAAAAGATTGGAGGTAAGTTTGCCACTCTGGCAACCTCATTGGCAAAGATTGTTCCCTTGTTTTATTTGAGGCAACCAGTAACTTGGGTTTGGGTACCCAGCCAAATAAAAGACCATGCCATGAGCAAGAACTTTGTTTTCCATCAATCCTAAAATAAAATCACAGCAATTTTGGGAATGTGTTTGCTGCTAGACAACCAGCAGAGGGAGCAAAAGATGTATTAATAGGTCCTATGAATATTTTTAAGGTGTGAAATAAGGTCATCAATAATACTTGAACATATATTCACAAAAATATATATTAGAAGACAACAGCAATGTTTACTTATATATTTCTTCTACTTTGGCCCTTTATAACTGATAGGCAAATCAAAGAGAATAAATTCAAGCTCATGATTTTCTTCCTAAAATCTTGCTTTATTCACACCACTTGTTGTTATTGTTGTTAGGTGCCTTCGAATCGGCACCGACTCATAGCAACGGTATGCACAACAAAATGAAACACTGCCTGGTCCTGGGCCAACCTCACAATTGTTGCCACACTTGAGCCCATTGATGCTGTCACTTTGCCAATCCATCTCACTGGGGGTCTTCCTCTTTTTCTCTGACCCTCCACCCTACCAAACATGATATCCTTCTCCAGCAACTGTTCCCTCCTGACAATATGTCCAAAGTATGAGAGATGAAGTTTGGCCATCCTGGCCTCCAAGGAGCACTTTGGCTGCACTTCTTCCAACACAGATCTGTTTGTTCTCTTGGCTGCCCATGGCACTTTCAGTATTCTCCTCCAACACTATAACTCAAAAGCATCAATTCTTCTATGGTTTGCCTTATTCACTGTCCAGCTTTCAGATGCATATGAGGTTATTGACAATACCATGGCTTGGGTCAGGCACACCTTAGTCCTCAAGCTGACATCTTTGCTCTTCAACACTTTAAAAAGCTTTTGTGCAGCAGATTTCCTTAATGCAATACGTCATTTGATTTCTTGACCACTGCTTGTATGGTAGTTGATGGTTGATCCCAGCAAAATGAAGTTTTTGAAAACTTCGTTCTTTTCTCTATTGATGAAAATGTTGTTTATTGGTCTAGTGGTAAAGATTTTTGTTTTCTTTACATTGAGATGCAATCCACACTGAAGGCTGTGGTCTTTATCTTCATCAGTATGTACACAGATGAAGACTAGGAAGAAGGAGAGATGAACTACTTCTGAATATTTAGTCACCAAAACCTTTAAGAATAGCAGAGAAACACACCACTATACTTCCTATTATTACATTTGTTCTTGTTTGGAATGTAGTGAAGATACAAAATTATTCATCTAAATCTTGGTGTGTGTGTTTCCAATTATTTTCCCACTTTGCATCTTAGCTAACTGTCTAAGAAGAAATGTGTTGTAAAACTTAAGGTCCTTCTGTGTGCTGACAATGTGGGTGGGGGCGGGCAGGCTTTCGGGGTGTACTCTTTGGATGTTTGATGAGGCATGGAGGGGATTGTAACCATGGCAATGAAATAAAATATGATAGAATTAATGTAAAGCTAATGTTCTCCCATGTAAACAATCACATAATTCACAATAAAAAGTTTTTTGTTTTGTTTTTTTTAAAAAAAAGAGCTTTGTAATATTGCCTGAGCAGAGCAGAGGTCTGGACAGTGGTACAAAGGTCAAAGGAAAGGATGTCCTGATTAGAAGAACTATATCTTGACCATTTCTGACCCTGATTTTCCCTAACAGACACCATAATTGTGAAAAACAAACAAACACCTTAAGGTCCTTACTAATGAGTATCTATGGGTTATTTCTTATTTGAGATAATTTCTCCCTCAGTTTTATTCATTCATATTATTCAATTGAATTGTTGAATTGATTATAAATGCAGAGTTTATTTATTACATGTAAAATGTTAGTGCTAATTTTATTATGTTTGTTACTTTAAAGCTCTGGGGATTTCCATGCTTATCATTCATTTACACAGTCAACAAATACTCATTGAATCTGACTTGCCAGGCACTGTTCTAAGATCTGTGAAATCTGCAATAAACAAAATAGAATGCTGGGCCACTTGGAATTGATAGTCTACTTTAAGGAATAACGTTGTCACTATTATATTATGATGAGGTTTTGTTTATAGTTTTATATTGAGTTAATATACTGTGAATAATTTTTTTTCTTTTTCAAAATTTTAGATCAGCATACAGGGCAGATGTTAGAGATTATGATCACAGGGTGCTACTAAGATTTCCCCAAAGAGTGAAAAACCAAGGGACATCTGACTTCTTACCAAGCAGACCAAGATATTCCTGGGAATGGCATAGTTGTCACCAGTAAGTGGATAATTTTGAGTTTTGTATTTTTTTTTTTAATCTTTCAGATGTTTTTGTTACAATAAATCCAAGTTTTATTTCTCAAACAAACAAACAAAAATGTTCTGTTATTTCCATTCAGAATTATCTGTGTAACATTACATAATCAAGGGAGGTTATATTAAGATAATCCATCAACTACCAGCTCCTGTTCTTTGAATTGGAAAGTCTATTTTTTTTTAAATTGTTGATCAGATATAGCAATTGGCATTGGTAGAATTTTACTCCAAGATACTACAGTTAGGATTTCTGAAAAAAAAATTTCACAACCAAGATTACCTCTGGTTGTTGTTGTTATGGTTATTATATGCCATTGAGTCAGTTCTGATGCATAGTGACCCTGTTTAGGGTTTTCAAGGAGCAGCTGGTGAGTTTGAACCAATATTGCAGTTCAAACTGTCCTGGAGGTTGAGTGTTTATCCTATATAGGTTTCTGAGGCTTGTAATCATCTCTGGAGGAGAAAGCTTAATTTTTCTCACTCAGAGCAACTGGTGGACTCAAACCACAGACCTTGTGATTCACTGTTCAGTATAATGAAGCCATTATACTGCCTCTGTGGTGGTGGTTGAGTGCAAGTCGAGTCAGTTCCAACTCATAGCAACCCTGTATAGGGTTTCTTAAGAGTGTCTGGTGAGTTTGAACTGCCAACCTTAAGGTTCAAACCAACCTTGAAGTTGAGTGCTTATTCTATGGTGCCACACCAGAACTGTGGTTAGTTGTTGCTGTTGAATGCCGTTGAGTTGATTCCAACTCATAGCGTCTCTGTATAGGGTTTCCAAGGAGTAACTAGTGAGTTTGAACCACCAACCTTGTGGTTCAAACTGACCTTGAGGTTGAGTGCTTTATCCTCCAGCACCACAGTTACCATTTAATAAAGACCACATCTGAGAGGTTTAAGACTGTATTTTCAGGAGGAGTCAGATACCATTCTCAAAGAAAGACTCAGATGACAAAACTCCATCAGCTGAGGATGATTTCCCTCCATCTCTTAAAAGGCCTATATCAAGCCCAAGGGTGTTTCCTGATCTGTCATAAATTAAAAGATTTTCACATAATGGTGTTCTATAATTTGCCCTGGTCATTTGCCCAGATGTTAATGACAAGGAAATCTTGATGTGCATCCTTAAACTTGCTGCATTTCAAGCTATTTCTTCTGGTTCTTTCCTGATGTGAGAAGATAAAACAGATCAGTACCCTCTATTTCATGAAATAAGAAAAGTAGACATGACCCACCTAATTTGCTGATAAAATATAATTTTTTTATCTCTAAAGAAAACTTTATGCTATTTGAATGGTAATAGTGGATAAAAAATGTCATTATTTCTCATTTTCATTTTATTAATGCTTTTAAATGTGAGAATTTGATTTTTGAAAACATTATAGCAATCTCCCAAGTGTGATATGCTTTTATTTTTTCAAATAAATAAAATATCAGTTGCAGCAGGCAAAAATTTACCAGAGAACATACTGGGAGTTTCAATAAGCACAGATAATTTACTGTGAGGACTCCTGGTATGGCATTGTATCAGCACTGAACTGTGAACCACAAGGTCAGCAGTTCAAACCCACCAGCTGTTCCTTGGAAACCCTATGTAAGGTCAGTATGAGTTGGAATCGACGCAATGACACTTAACAATAACAACAACCATAATTTACTGTGGAGTACTGATGTGACACTGTAGGATAAGCACTGAATCTCAAAGTCGGTTTAAATCACAAGGTCAACTATTTAAACCCACTAGCTCCTTCTTCGAAACCCTGTACAGGGGCCCTATGAGTCAGAACCAACTGAATGGCACTTAGCAAAAACAATTTGCTGTATATTTAATATTTAGTATTAAAATACAGGGCATTCTAGAAAAACAGAAGGATTCAAGAAAGTTCTTTTCAAAACGCAAACCAAACCCACAGTCAAGTTGATTCTGACTCCTATAGAACAGAATAGAACTTCTCCTTAGAGTTTCAGAGACTGTAAATCTTTACAGAGGCAGAGAGCTGGATCCTTCTTCATGGAGAGTGACTGGTGGGTTTGAATCACTGATCTTGTGGGTAGAAGCCCAATGTTTTACTTGCTGTACCACCAAAGCTCCTTTTCTCACTATTGGTAAAATTAAAATCACAATTTTAGTAGACTTATGTCCCTGGGGTGGAGAGAGACCTTGCCTGAGTTTTTCTTTGTTGTCATTGTTAAGAATCGTTGAGTCAGTTCTGACTCACAGCGACCCTGTATAAGGTTTGCAAGGAGTAACTGATAAGCTTGAACTGCCAGCCTAGTGGTTAAAACCAACCTTGCAGTCCAGCGCATTAACCCATGGGGCCACACCAGGACTCCGGGTTTGTTTTTAAGAAGAAGGTAAATTGATCTCAGTTTTACTGTAGAGCAAATTTGTGAGGCAACTGGGAAGTTAATATTCTTATTTATCTGTGTGAAACTGATCTCTGTCTCTGTGTTGTGTGGGACATTAGACATTATCACAGCATGGATGAATTCAGCCACTATGATCTGCTCGATGCCAGCACCCAGAGGAGAGTTGCTGAAGGCCACAAAGCAAGCTTCTGCTTAGAGGACACATCCTGTGACTATGGCTACCACAGGCGATTTGCCTGTACTGCACATACACAGGTAAGGTGGATCCTGAAATCAGGAATCCACAGGCTTCAGAGAGAAAACAAAGTGGTCAACTCCATCTTTCCCCCCACTTCTCTTATATTAACTGTCTCATTTAGGGAGTCAGGAGTCCTGGAGTGGGGCTGTAGGATAAGCACTGGACTGCTAACCACAAGGTTGGTGGGTCAAACCCACTAATCGGTACTTGGATGCCCTCTGCAGGGTTGCTATGAATTGCAACTGACTTGACAACACTTAATAACAGCAACAACTAGTCAAGATAGAAAACAACTGAGAAAAGGAAAATGATGGCTTGACAATTCAAAATACTCTTGAAGTGTTTCCAACTATGCATGTAGCCCCTATTCATGATTACTGGTCAGTGTAAATATTCTTTCTCTTCTGTGATGAAAAACAGCAGTTTCCTCTGAAAAGTGAATGGATTATAACACCTGCATTCATTTTGTATTCTTTAACTGGCTTGGCGAGGAACTATAGACAAGATACCTCTATTTTCTCCCTGTGGGACCATTCCTCCTTTCACCTTTTAAGCTAAACATAGGATAATGATTAGGGTAAGCAAAAGGAGAGGGAATACATTTCTTATAAAACAGTTTCTAAAAACTGTCTCTTTTAATAACATAAAGGCAAGCAGAAGGACAGAATTCTTTCTCCACATATGTATATTTAAGCCTATGGTATAATTGATGTCAGATGTAATTTGGATAAAATTTTAAAGTACTGCTGAACTAAGCAGTTTGTGTGTTTTATAATTGGAAAGTGCGTGTGAGTTAAAAGCCATGTCAGTATTTCCATAAGAAACCCTAATTTGTGAAAGGACATTATAATTTTACTCCAGCCCCAATTTTGGCAAGGAGCAGTGAATGTACATAACCCAGGACACAAAAGGATCAGCAGCTGTGATCTTGGGAAGGAAATTCCAGGGCTGTGGCAGGAAGCTTTTTGATGACCTAAATGTTGTCATTACTTCTCTCTCTGAGTTTAGAATATCATTGCAATTGAAGTGGGGAAAGGTTAAATTCCACATGCCCTTGGGTAATGCTTATTTTCTAAGCTAAAGGAGATGGAGACCTCCCTGCATATTACACATGGGTGCATACAAAGATTCCATTTTCATTTAATGATCTCTAAATCCCATAGCACGTATACGTGCGGGAGGATTGGATTTATTCCCCCCAATACAAAAGAAGAGTCACTGTAGACAGCTTATTCTGTGTTGACATCTTTGAATCTTCCACTTTCCATATTTATGGCACTCATGTGCCTCCTGTAACTTGGGGTCCTCCATTTTATTTGTATGATAACATTCTTGTTAACCATCATCTTAATGAACTTTTTTATTCACTGGATTTACATATAGTTTTTATGTTTGTCTTTTAAGGGGAAAAATTTTTGTTGTAGTTGTTGTTAAGTGCCATTGAGTCTGTTCTGACTCATAGTGACCCTATATCGGGTTTCTGAGGCTTAAAATCTTTGCGGGAGCAGCAATCCTGAGCTTTCTCCCATGGAGTGGCTGGTGGGTTTGAACTGTGAACTTTATGGTTCACAGTCCAATACTAACACAATGGTGCTACCATGCTCCTGAGTTTTATTATAGTATTTCTTAAATGTACGCAGGAGTCCGTGAGTGGGGTAAAAGGTTAAGTGCTTAGCTACTAATTTGAAGTTTAGTTGTTCAAATTCACCCACAGGTGCCTAGGAATAATGCCCCGACAATTAACTTTGAATAATCATACACATTAGAAAATATATGGAGCGCAGTTCTATTGTGAAACATATGGGGTTGCCAAGAGATAAAATCGTGTCAACAGCAACTGATTCAGTTTTTTGGTTTTAAATGTATACAAACATAAAATTAGATAAAGCTTCATCATACATTTTTATGGTGGTGGTGGTTATGTGCCGTGTTTATACAACTATTAAATTCTTATGGAACAATTTTAAGTGATAAACATATGCAAAACTAGAAACAGTGAAATTCACCTCATTAATTTAATGCAGCAAACAATTATGTGTTACTAACACTAAATAGCTAATTTAGAAAGCCTCAATGTAGGTTCTAGAAAAGGACTTCAAAAGTTAGTGAAAAAATGGAATTGAAAGACAATGGAACTTTTTCCTGAACTTTTTGAAGTCCTTTCACATATTTAATCCATTTTTATTTTTGATGTTCATAGTACTAATATATGAAATGCTTATTTAATGGTCAAAATAACTCTTTCTTTCTTTACTAATTTAGATCACTAAAGCTCATTTTTCTTGTTTGGTACCCTCAAGTTGGCTCCAACAAATAGTCACCCTATGCACAACAGAAGGAAATACTGCCTGGTCTTGTGCCATCTTCACAAGTTTTGTTATGCTTGAGCACATTTCTGCTGTCACTATGACAATCCATCTCATTGGGGGTGTTCCTCTTTTTCAATGACCCTCTGCTTTACCAAGCATTATGTCTTTCTCCCTGGTAATATGTAAAAAGTCCAAAGTATGAGAGCCGAAGTATTACATCCAGGCTTCTAAGCAGCATTCTAGCTGTACTTCTTCCAGCATAGATTTAATTGTTCTTCTGGCAGTCCATGGTACTTTCAATATTCTTCACCAACACTGTAACTCTTTAAATGCGTCAATGATTCTACGGTGGTGCTTATTCATTGTCAAACTTTCACATGTATATGAGGCTATTGAAAACACCATGGCTTGAGTCAGGCACACCTTAGTCATCAAACTGATTATCTTCGCTCTTAAACATTTTTAAAAGGTTTTGTACAGCAGATTTGCCTAATGCAATATGTTGTTTGAAAACTTGACTGTTGCTTCCTTAAGTGTTGATTGTAGATCCAAGCAAAATGACGTATTTGACAGTTTCAATTTTTTCTCCACTTTTCATGATATTATTTATTAATCCACTTTTTAGGATTTGTGTTTTCTTTACATTGAACTTCAACCCATACTGAAAGCTGTGGTATTTGTTCTTCATCAGTAAGTGTTTTAAGTCCTCTTCCCTTTCAGCAAGCAAAGTTGTATCATCTGTATATCTCGGGCTGTTAAGGAGTCTTCCTCAAATTCTGAAACCATGTTCTTCTTCATATAATCAAGTTTCTTGGCTTGTTTGCTCAGTTTACAGATTGAATAAGCATGGTGAAAGAATGTAGCCTCGGCACACACGTTTCCTGATTTTAAAACAATCAGTGTCCCCTTATTCTGTTCCAAAAACTGCCCGTTGGTCTATGTACAGGTTTCATATGAGCACAATCAAGTGTTCTTTAATACTCAAAATACGGTCCATGGTTTGTCGTAATCCACAGTCAAAAGCCTTTGCATAGTGAAGAAAGCATAGGTAAACAGTTTTCTAGTATGCTCTGATTACAGCCAAGACTTATCTGACATGGGCAATGATATCCCTAGTTCCACTTTCTATTTTGAATCCGACTCCAGTTTCTGGCAGCTCCCTGTCAATGTACTGTTGCGGCTGTGTTAGAATTATCTTCAACAAAATTTTACTTGTATGTGATATTAATGGTACTGTTTGGTGATTTCTACATTCCATTGCTAACCTCTACTTGGAATGAGCATAAATTTGGATCTCTTCCAGTCAGTTGAACAAGTAGCTGTCTTTCAAATTTCTGAGCATAGATGAATGAGTGTCTCCAGTGTTGCATCAGTTTGTTAAAAGATTTTAATTTCTGTTCTGTCAATCCCTTGAGCCTTGCTCTTTGCCAGTACCTTCAGTAAAGTTTGGACTTCTTCCTTCAGGACCATCAGTTGCTGATCATATGCTATCTGTTGGAATGATTGAACATCAATCCTTTCTTTTGTAACAGTGACTCTGTGCATGCTTTCCATCTTCTTTTGATGCTTTGTGCATCATTCAATATTTTTCCCAGGGAATCCTTCAATATTGTAAGTCAAGGCTTACATTTGCATTGAGCTCTTTTACTTCCTCATTTCTTCCAGTAGCTTTAGCAGGTCTACTGTGGAGAGTAAGTTTCAGAGTCTCTTCTGACATCTAATTTTTGTCTTTTCTTTTTTTCCTGTCTTTTTAATGATCTTTTGTTTCTTTCCTGTATGATATTTTTGATGTCATCCCACAGTTCTTCTAATCTTCATTCATTAGTGCTAATGCATCAATTCTGTTCTTAAGATGCTCTCTAAATTCAGTTTGGATATATTCAATGTCATATTTTGGCTCCTGTGGAAATGTTTTAAGTTTCTTCAGCATCAGGCTGAACTTGCATATAAGCAGTTGATGGTTTCTTCGGCAGTCTGCCCCTGGCTTTGTTTTGGCTACTAATATTGAGTTTTTCCATGGTCTCTTCCCACAGATGTAGTCAATTTGATTCCTATGTTTTCCATCTGATGAGGTCCATATGTATAATCAACTTTTATTTTATTTAAAAATGATATTTGTAATGAATAAGTCATTGGTCTTACAAAATTCTATCATGCAATCCTCAGCATCATCAAGGCTGTATTTTCCAATTCCTAATCCTTCCTTTTTTGCTTACAACCTTTGCATTACAATCACCAGTAATTATCAGTACATCTTGATTGCATGCTTGATCCTTTACATACTCAAGAAGTTGGTGGAATTCTTCAAATTTATCATCACTGACTTTAGTGGTTGGTGTGTAAATTTGAATGATAGTAGCATTAACTGGTCTTTCTTGTGGGCATATTGATACTAGTCTAGCACAGACATTAATATAGTTCAAGACAGATCTTTAAATGTACTTTTTGATGATGAATGTGATGCCATTCCTTTTGAATTTGTCATTCCTGGCATAATAAACCGTATGATTGTCAGATTCAAAATGGCCAGTACCAATCCATTTTAGCTCACTAATGCCTAGGATTCTTTTGTTCACTTAAAGATAGGCATTGTAGCATTATAAAAATCGTTATGTGTTCCATTTTATTTTTGACAACTTCTAATTTTCTTAAGATTCATTAGTTCTTACATTCTATGTTCTGATTACTAATGGATGCTTACAGCTGTTTCTCCATATTTTGAATTGTGCCCCATCAGAAAATGAAGATTCTGAAAGCTTTACTCCATTCATGTCATAACAAGTCAACTCTACTTTGAGGAGTAAGCTTTTCCCAGGCTTATTCTGAGTGAATTTCAACCTGAGGGACTCACCTTTCACCATTATATATGACAATGTTCTAGTCTATTCATAATGTTTTCAGTGACTAACCATGCAGATGTAGGTTATGCCTCTCCTTTTTCCTAGTCTCTCTTAGTCTGGAAGCTCTACTGAAACGTGTCCACCATAAGTTACCCTGCTAGCATTTAAAATACCAGTGGCATAGCCTCCAGCATCACAGCAACACACAGTCCACCAGACTACAACAAACTGATTGGTGGGCTAAAGCTCATACTTAACTTAAACTCTGTTCTAAAGAATGTCAGTTTAAGCATTCTTTAAAATTCTTTTGTTCACTTAAAGATAGGCATTGTAACCTTATAAAAAAAACACCCTTAAGTAGATATCTAATCCCATGAATCTCTTGTAATGTCATGAAGGTAATAATAACAATTATTTTGATAATGATAGTAACTAACACTTACTCAGTATGTACTACATGCCAGAATCAGAATTATGTGCTAGAATCAGAAGCTAAAAATTCCACAGTATGTAGTCATACTGTTCATGAATGATTGTAAGTTGATGCAGACCGTGGTGAGGATCTAGGCAATAACAAAGGGATACAGTTTTGACTGCTATGCACAGGCACTTTGGAATTTGGCTTATCTATGCTGTGTGACAGCAAAGTTTTTCCCAGCTTTTCCCAAATCAAACAGCATCCAAACCTGCATGGAAGACCATGCCAAAAATAGTTTGTCATCTTTTTGGTGACCAAGGTGATCTGAAATGGCAGAGAATTTTAGATGCTGAAATTAAATGGCAGTGGCATGGTAGGATCAGCACTGTGCTGTGAACCACAGGTTGGCAGTTCAAATCTACCAGCTGCTCCTTGGAAACCTTATACAGGGTCACTGTGAGTCAGAATTGACTCAACAGCACTTAACAACAAACAAGTGAGTTAAGTAGTGTTGGAAGAAGTACAGGCAGAATGCTCCTTGGAAGCCAGGGTAACCAGACTTCGTCTCTCATACTTTGGTCATATTATCAGGAGAGACCAGTCTCTGCAGAAGAACATCATACTTTGTAAAGTGGAGGATCCAAGAAAAAGAGGAAGACCTCCAATGAGATGGATTGGCACAGCGGCAGCAGCAATGGGTGCAAGCGTAGCAAGGATTATGAAGTTGGCGCAGGACCTGGCAGTGTTTCAGTCTGTTGTGCTTAGGATTGCTATGAGTTGGTAATGACCCAATGGAACCTAACAATAACAAATGAGTTCAAATGATTCTTGCTGGTGGTTTCTAATTTTTTTATGTTAGTATAAAAATGAAAATACAACATTTATAATTTCTCATGAAGAACAAATGGAATCAAGAATATACTTGCAGACTCCAATATGAGAAAACTTCTCCAGATTGTATCTTTCTTTTCAGCAAGGAACAAGTCTTATTCTATATTCATTGCTATTAACTCCTCCCAGCCTATAGAATGCATTCTTTTACTTACTGAAGTAAATATCCTGGCAAGTAGAGTGATGTAGCATTCATTCATTGAGGCCTGCATTCATACCTTCAACTTAACAAATATTTCAGTGAGTGACAATGTGTGAGAGAGTATAGTGTGATGGTTAAGAACAGGAATTCTGACCCAAATTGCTTAAGATCAAAACCAGCTCAACAATTACTAGCAATATCCTTGGGTAAGTTACTTGACCTCATTATACCTCAGTTTCCTCATCTGTAAAATGGAGATAATAAAAACGTACTTCATAAAATTCTGAGAATTGAACTCATGCATGTAACACATTTAAAATTGTTCCTGGCACATTCAAAGATGAAACACAGGCTCTGCCCTTAACTAGCTGACAATCTCTGACTGGCTGGCTGTGTGCCATTGAGTTGGTTCTGAGTTGGAACTGACTCGACAGCACTTAACAACAAACAGCAAGTTACTAGATATATTCTTATATGTTGTTGTTGTTAAGAGTCATCAAGTCAGTTCTGACTCATAGCAACCCTGTGTAGGCTTTATAAGGAACTGCTGGTGGGTTTATACTACCAAACTTGTGGTTCAAAGTCCTATGCTGAAGTGCTGTTGAGTCACTTCCAACTCATAGTGAATCGGTATAGGGTTCCTGAGGTGTGGCTGGTGGATTTGAACCGCCAACCTTGTGGTAAACAATCCAGTGTTGATCCTACAGTTCCACACATAATAACAACCAGAAATGGAAAACAATTATAAAAGCTATACATTGAAAAGTATCATGGGAATTCAGAATATGGGCAGGTCATTTTCAAGAGGGACAAATAGGAAGTGCTTCAATGAGAAGGGGACATTTGTTCCAAATCATCTATTGTTGTTGTTGTTGTTAAGTGCTGTTGAGTCAGTTCTGACCCATAGTGACCCTGTGTAGGGTTTCCAAGGAACAGCTAGTGACCTTGAACCACCCACCTTGTAGTTCAAATCAACTTTGCAGTCCAGCACATTAACCTACAGTGCCACATTTGTTGTTGTTGTTGTTGTTAAGTGCCGTCGAGTCGGTTCCAACCCATAGCGACCCTGAACGGGGTTTCCGAGGCTGTAAATCTTTACGGGAGCAGAAAGCCTCATCTTTCTCCCGCGGAGCAGCTGGTAGTTTTGAACTGCTGACCTTGCCGTTCACAGCCCGATTCGTAACCGTTACGCTACCAGAGCTCCTTACAGTGCCACATTAAGTACACTCTATTCCTGAATTGACAATAGTCTACAATTTTGCTTGAGGCCTATTTTGTCACTTTACAGTGTATTTATCATTGATGATTTGTTACATTACTTAAGAAGCTAGGTATATTTATTTTGGATCATTTGTATCTGCAGGCTATGTAATATGTACTTTTCAAGAGAGATATAATAAAAGTATGATTTTATGTCAAACCCTTGAAGTTCTCACTTAAGATTTGATTTCTGAATAATAATATTCTGATCATATATTATATTGTTTGTTGTTTTAGGGGTTGAGTCCCGGCTGCTATGATACCTATAATGCAGATATAGACTGCCAGTGGATTGATATTACAGATGTACAACCAGGAAACTACATTCTAAAGGTAGTGGCTTTATAATGTATGCATCTGTTATTTATTTAGATTGCAAATCATTAGCTGCCTACCCCCAACCCCTTTCCAGATTCAAATGTAAAATAATCTTGGTTGTAAAAGTAATTATATGTCATCTAGAACTATTTCTAAACCAACCTAGGCAAATGAAGGCTGTTTTTTTTTTGAAGAGCTTCAGAAAAAGAGTATATATTCTCCCTATATATATTTTCCAGAATTTTTCTGTGTAACTAAAACACCCCTCCCAACTTTATTTAGTTGAACCTCATTCTCTAGTTCTAATCCCTATGAATAGAAATAAATTAACCAGTAAATACAGATGATGAGATCTGTAACATAAATGTTGTTTTTCTTGCCTAGGTCAGTGTGAACCCCAGCTACCTGGTCCCTGAGTCAGACTACTCTAACAATGTTGTGCGCTGTGAAATACGATACACAGGACATCATGCATATGCCTCGGGCTGTACAATTTCACCGTAAGTCCTATTTGCCTGTTTTTTGTTTTTCATAAAGAGTGTTAGTTTTTTCAAGTAGCATTATACTTGGCATATATCTGTTCCTTTTTCTATCTACTGCACTTTCTTTCCAAAATAGACCTAAAACAGAAGATGGTATATAGTCAGCATATACCACTATCACATGATGAAAACTGATCTTTTTTTGACAATACTAGTGAAAAGAGGATGTCCTGATGTTTTAATTATCCTAAATCTTAGTCTTCAAGTCAACGCATACACCGGCATGCATTCTTTACCCAGAAAGTCTATGTGGGCACCCAATATGCAAAATTGCTCAACGTGCAGCATTGTGGAATTGTGGAAGCCCTAACAGTTCCATTTTCTGCCCTCCCCTCCAACAGCAAGAGTCCCTACAGGAGCTCTAAAGAAATTCCTAGGGCTCTCAAAAGTACATTTTGATAATCACTCTCTTCAAGTATAAAGAAGTCAGAATCCCTGTTCTCTAGATGTCAAGATGTCATGTATTTGAGTTATAACCCATGGGTACTAAGGAAGAAGTAGAGGATTTCTTCATATATTTTTTAGTCCCGAAACCTTTCTTTGAAGGAAATATTAGTAGGAATCACAACATGGAAAATGTTTAGAAGTAATGCGAGTTGGTGAATTAAAGAAAGTTGGTTTGTCTGGTTGCCCCTCTGCCCTACTCTAACCCTTTTGTTGTTGTTAAGTGTGATCAAGTCGATTCCGATCCATAGCGACCCTGTATAGGGTTTCCTAGGAGCAGCTGGCAAGCCTGAATCTCTGACTGTGCAGTTCAAACCAACTTTTTAGTCCAGTGCATTAGCCCACAGTGCCACACCAGAACTCCACTCTAACCCTTTAAGTACCCTTTAAACTTGCTGTAGTATTCTTAGGTGATGGATCATAACTATATATGCTCCCTGTGAGCTACACCTCAAAAAAGCAAAACAAAAATACACCATTACAACGATAACTGAACATATAGGCACATATATTAGCTTTGCTTTAATGTTGGAGAGGCATCAGAGCTTCTGGGTCATGCAGACAAGTGTAGCAGAGCTACACTAATAATTCATAAGAAATTTCTCCCTAAATATGAAACCTAGGAATATGGTCCACTATACCTGAACCATATAGGAACATAAGCTAAACGTGACGGTGCAGGTTTTGCCCTACACCTGGGTTCCTTGATGGGTGAAAGTGGGGTTAAAAACAGCCCAGGCCCTATCTCCAAAGCCTCACACTCACTCTGAAGGGGAATGTTTTTTCTTGCTCACTTGAAGCAGCAGAGCCAATGCTTCACAAATGTCATCACAGCATGAGAACTAGATGAAACCCATGACAGTGAAGATGTAACACTGAAAAAAGGCAATCAAGTGTATTCTGGACTGGCCCACAGCACAGAAAAACTGGTTTTTGGCTCATGGCATAATGCAGCCCCACCCTGCCCCCAAAAGTCAGTGTGATTTAAGATAAAATAAATTGATAGATTGATTTTATACCCCTTCATTTATTTACTCATTCTTCATTAACTTATTCACTTAGTGTCATTTGATGGTGGTATGCCTCCAAGATGGTTCCAAGTCATAACAACTTTGTATTTGGTTTCTGAGGTTGTAACTCTTTACTGGAGTAGAAAGCCTCATCTTTCTCTCATGGAGAGACTGGTAGATTTGAACTGCTGACCTTGTGGTTAGCAGCCCAGCTCATACCATTTATGTACCATGGATTTCCTGAGGTCCTGAACTAGACAGCAAAGACCTTGGCATTAAGAGGTAGGCAAATTGAATGGAAAACTAAATTGGGATTAGATCAAAGAGAACACTGCATAGCAAGCAAAAAAGTTTGAACTTCTTTCTGGAGATGATGGGAAGTTTTCTAAGTTTTTTGAGCAGAGGGTGTAACTTGCCTAAAGCTATGTGGTCAGTCTTGGAGCAAGCATAAACAGCAGTGTGTATGATTTTGCGGTGGTAACATTACTTTACTGGACATACAGTTTTCTTGTTGAACTTAGTATTTCTCCTGTTAATCATATATTTGAGAACAATCAAACCAAACCAGTTGCCATCATGGCAACTCCATGTGGGTCAGAGTAGAACTACATTCCATAGGGTTTTCAAGGCTGTGACCTTTCAGAAGCAAATCACCAAGTCTTCCTTTCAGGAGATCTCTGGGTGGGTTTGAAACTCCAAACTTGCATTAGTAGTTGAGCATTTTAACCATTTGTGACACCAAAAGAGAAAGCATACAATTTGTGTGTAAAAACTATTCAGTAAGTTGGTATGTGACTTTAATGTCCAAAGGACTTAAAAAATGTTTATGGAAACAAATTATATTTTAATTCCATTTTCTCATGAACTTTTTGAAGTTCTCTCCTGTCTTTTCTCTCTCTCCCATTTTCCTCATTGTAAATAAAAGAAGTGACATCCGTGGTCCCTTTCAATTCTAAGATACTACAGTTACATTCTTTACTTTTCACAGAACTTGCTGTTCGGTAATTGATGGTTTATGATTTAGATTAAGTGCATTCTTACTTCCTTTACATGGGCATCTATAATGACAGGTTAAATAAAACAACATTTGATTTATTGACTTTGGCCCACTTTCTGCCTACTAACAGCAAAATTCCAAAGCCCTGCTGGAAAATAACTTAATGAAAGCCCATAACCGTACTGCTTGGTAAACAAGCTACACGTACTCCACAATGAACTAACCTGGTCTGGGCCGCCATTCTCATGAGTCCTGCTTTGCTGTTGATTGTTTCAGAGGTTGTTTCTTTGAACTTAATTGTCAGGACTACAGACATTCGACACATACTTTCGGCTACTGATATAGAGGCATTTTCTTCAAATAATTATTTAAAATAAGGTATTAATGGATATTTCACTAGATAACTATTATGTTGTTGTTAAGTGGAGTCAGTTCCGACCCATTGTTGTTGTTGTTAAGTGCCGTTGAGTCAGTTCCAACCCATAGCGACCCTGTACAGGGTTTCCAAGGGTGTAAATCTTTACAGGAGTAGAAAGCCTCATCTTTCTCCCGCGGAGCAGCTGGTAGTTTCGAACCGCTGACCTTAAGGTTCGCAGGCTGATTCATAACCACTACGCTACCAGAGATATAGAGACCCTTTATAGGGTTTCTGAGGAATGGCTGGTAACCTTGAACTGCCGACCTTGTGGTTCAAACCGACTTTGCAGTCCAGCGCATTAACCCATAGTGACACACCAGGAAATTGCTACATAAAGGTTTTTTTAAAAGATTGACTTTAAAAATTTGTCTACTGTTCTCATTCATAATTATGTTAATAATTTGTCTTTCTTTCTTTCTTAATGTAGGTATTAGAAAACAACCCCAAACTCAAAGTGAATGAACCAGTGTCTGGTGTTCTGAAGTGGAAAAATTAAACTAACTTCAGTAGGATTATATGTTTATGGAAAAAAAAAAGAACAGAAATAACAAAGAGATTTTGTTTGGATTGTTTTATAGCAAAGCACATAACTGGATTGTGAACATTTAAATTGGCATTATTTGGGAAATTTTTAATGCTTAATAGTCACATAATTTTGTGCATTAACATGATGTTTCAATTCTGTAGTGGCATATTTTGCTCTTTCAAAGAAATTCGTATTTCTTGTGCTTCTTTTGACATTATTCTACAGAAGAGAAAATATTTAATTGAATAAGGCAACATTTCCATTGAAAATTTTCTAAAGGTGATATTTCTTTGAAACAATAATAACTGGCATATATATGTCCTAATATAAATTAATTTAAGAATGATGCTCCTACTGTTTAAACATAAACACCAACACATTTGGTGCTGAGGAAGAAACAAACACATTACCATTGGTGTCACAAAATATTACCATATAGTAGAGAAATGACATGATATGTATTCAGATAGTTACACCCCTTTATAAAATTTGTTTACATTTTTAAATTAGTAGATAAACTTCTTTCTTTCTGTCAAGTGCACTATTTCATTCTAACTTGGGTCAGCTTTTGTTTAGAAATGAATTAATTGAGTTGCTCAATCCCTGTCTGCCATTTGTTGATACTCCCGTCTACTTCTATTTTTCCTATGGGCAGAGACATTTTAACTGACATTCTTCTATTACCATTCTGGAGACTAGTCTAAGTAGGACAACTGTGTAAATGGGAAATCATTTTGATGACAGATATGACATATCCAGAGATAATGTAAATTTAAGCATGCTGAAGTATTAATCAAAAATAAGTTTTCTCACTAACATAAAAATCAACACACATGTCCCCCAAACCACAACTGTCTCTCAAATACTTTCATTAATGAAAAATAAAACAAAACATAGCATTTAAAATCTTTACAGGTTCATTTTATGTTCAGCTATTAAAAAAAGAGGAATACTAAGGAATTTTAAATTATTAGGATGAGGATAATCCAATACGTTTTCAATACAGAAACTTCATCCTATATCATTCAGGCATCAACCATACATGATGATATTTTGTGTGTGAAATATAAACCAAATTAGCAAAGCACATACATACTTGAGGGTTTGGTAAACAAGTGAGAATACTTTCTGCAACGCCAAGAACTGTGCTGTGTAGTGAGACAGCTGTGATTTTATTTTAAACTGTGAAATCATGTGCCACAATAGAATTTGGAGAATTTATTTTTCCTGAAATTCAAACGGTAACGAAAGAAATCAAATGACACTTCAGATCGGTGCTTAAGCAGAAGCTTTTCATACATTATTATTGTTAGGTGCCCTCACATCAATTCTGACTCATAGAGATTCTGTGTACACGTTTCTGAGGCTGTAAATATTTACAGCACCAGAAAGCCTCATTTTTCTACGGTGGAATGGCTGGTGGGTTTGAATTGCCGACCCTGTAGTTAGCAGTCCAGTACTTATCCTACAGTGCCACCAGTGTTCCTCTCATACATTGTTGTTGTTGTTGTTAAGTGCTGTCAAGTTGATTCCGACCCATAATGATCCTGTATAGGGTTTCCAAGGA